ATTGCGGAATATATATTCGCCCTCCGATCCGCGGTCGGCGTTATATTACGAGAATAATAAATTATTAATGAAATTATAATATAAATTGAACGAATATTTAACTGCAAATTATATATTAGTAGAGGTTTATATTTGAGTATCTTTCTCTCTTAGGTCTTTTATTTTCTTTTTGTTTTATCGTTCGTTTAATTTTCGCTGTACGTCAATGCGTTTATCAATTTGCGAGACCGTGCCCCCGAACATACACAGCTCGCTGTTTTAAATAATTTATAAACGCATAGGCAAACGGCGGGTCTCGTGATGCCGCTAGGGACACCCGTCGGGAATTAATTGTGAAACGCCGTTCTCGGAATTCGCGCTCTGTAGTTGGCCTTGCGAAAACTCGCGCGCGCGCAAACACAAGGAGCGGTGCTGCTTCCTTACTAATTTTACGATTGGCCAGTGCAAAATACAATCGTTCGAAACCGATTTCGAACATCGAAAGACTGAATCGTTGAATTGAAACGCGTCACCGATGGCAGCGGACACCGAACTGCCCCCCCCCCCCCCTACCTTTGTCTGAGGACGGTGGGAGTCCATGGGGGTGAAGTTTTGACGAAGATGAAATTGAAGGAGACCAGAGATCCGTACCTGAATGCAATATCCGTAATTAATCATCCGCTGCCATTTGTGAAACGATTTTGGCGTCAGACTGAATTGGACTGATTTATCTTTTTTTTTTCTATATTTTCTTCTTGTTCTTTATTATTTTAATTTTTTCTTTCTTAATTAGTCGTTTTTACATTGGACTGATTTTAAACTCTTTCTTGACTGATGTTACCAAACGAGTGTTAATTAAAAGTATATAATTTCTAAGTTAAAATGAAAGCACGGTTAGGGGGAAAGCATGAACGCGATCAGATTGGCAGGGCACCGCAGCAGTTCGAATCAACTGAGATAAGAATGAATGGAAAATGAATAATAGTACATGTAACAGGATAGGCGCAACTCACACGTTTTGACAATTATTTGTAGTTCGTTGGTATACAACACCCACACAGACACAACACAAACGCTGTTTTATTAATTATCGCTTTTGTATCTGACACATATTCACATTTCCTACGTTCGCTTCTCGTCTTATTTTATTTTTTTTTCTTCTATTTTTTGTACACGTTAAGCTTTTAGCGCACAGACACTATTACTGTTTAGTTATGGTCATGGGTAAGAGACACACGTACATTCGCATCTATATATTCACATAGTTACATACGCGTGCACAAGCGTTTAGGTTCTCCTCTACATGTTTTTTTTTTTTCTTTTTGTTTCACGTAATTATTAACCCGTAGATTTACGCAATAGTGACGATAGGATCTTACAATGATTTTTTTTCTCCGAGTTTCCTTTTAATCATTTTATTACAAGCAGCTATTATTACAGTACAGACAGAAGAGCGAGCAAGCAGTTTCGTAAAAACAAACAAACAGCTTTTCTTAAAAATAATAAAGTAAGCCGTAATTCCGTTCAATTACCCTATGATAGAGTTATATTAGCGGTCACTCGCGAATACCGAGCAGAAAAATTCTTTACCATCAACGATACACATCATTATCTGTGCGAGAACAATTTTACGCATCGCGATATACTGTTGAATAGAATTATTTTGTAATCCCGAGTTATAGAAAGAGGTTAAGCGAGAGGAAGAGCGTGAGAGAGGGAGAGAAAGCGTGAGAGAAAGAGCGAAGGAGAGGAAGAGACAGATAGAAAGAAAGAGAGAGAGAGAGTGCGAAAGAGAGAGCGAGAATAGAAAGCAGCAAAGCACTGAGAAAAAACGAGCTTATTCGAAATTCGTCAAATATGTAAAATTGTATTGACAAATAAACAAGACCGGTGCTATCGGCTCGAAATATCTCGGAAACATCTGGGGAACATGGAAAACAAAAAAAAAGGCTGAATTATTTCCGGTAACGACTCTGTTTCGGGTACAAATCGTTTTCTCTTCTTAAGCGAAATATAATAATGTCGAGCGTTACCGTGCTTACTTATTATTTGTTATCTGCCAAGGTGTTCTGGTTATAATATATATTTATTGATGACTATTATTAATATTATTATATTATTATATAACTATGGAAATTATTATTTTTATTTTTAAGCAATGTCAAATGCATCTTAATATATTTTCACCATTTTTTATATGATACGAAATGTACTATTTGATTTAATAATTCGTTTGTATCACTTTTATTTCTTCATTTTTAGTCAGCACCTATCACATCCTCGAAAACGACATGAAAGATAGAAGCGTTTGCACCTTACATGAAGTGTACTATTCGTATATCCCTCCCGTCACCCCTTTTTGTGTTCTGAACCTGAACCTATTAAGCGACGCCATGAATGTATCGCGTCGCGTCTATTTTCTTTCAGCTGGAAGGTAAGTTTTATATGCCTATCAACGCACGGGAGGCCGAGACACGGTCCGAGGATTCAACATGCGCTCATTATTGGAACGGCGATAAATCGCGGATTCCGTTTCGTTTGGCGCGAGAACACGTTCACACACTTCTCACCGAATCCCATTTACCACGCGGCACGTGTGTAAACGGGTTTGCCTTACGTCGGAAAATCGAAGACGACGCGTGGTCGTGCGTGCCTGTGGAGATCGAAGTAAGAACGATTCTTCAGCGATATAGAAAAGGTCGAGACGGGGTCTGTTTCCCTCGAAGGAGGGAGAACTTTTCGAAAGTCGTTGTTCCTCGTATTCCATTCGCGACTGAGAGAAAACGACAGCACCGTCTTCGGGGCCTCGGAGCCCAAAAGACGCTACTTCTAAAGGCAGCACGTTCTCGAACGATCGACCGTGAGAGACGAGCGCCGTTTACAAAACAGAAAAACAAGAAAAGAAAAATAAAAGAGAGCGATTAAGCCGCCACGCCGCTCGCCAGGCTCACGCATATCATTACGTTCACTTCAAATTGCATGCTTTAAATGTCACCCAGAATGCTCAGTGTTTCCTACTCGTCGTCTCCTTTATTTCTCTTCTCGTACACACACATATAATTTTTTTTTTTTATATTTTTTTCCTTCGACTTCCTGCGTTTATCAGGTCTCACTTGAAGCGCGTGACGTTTAACGAAGCACACGTCAACGCGTGTCTACTCGTACGCCTAGAACGACCGAACTCTATTATGTCCTCCTCGGATCGGACACAGAACGATGTACGCAATCGTCTTATACAACTCCGTTTGTCCCGCCCGGCTATTCCCCTAATGTTCCTTTCTCCACGAACGTCTGTTGTGCGGTTACATTCGCGTGAATGATCTGTACGGGGCGCGCGTATACGAATACGTGTATGTGCGCGTTCCATGATTTCCACTCGTCCATCAAAATCCTCCGAGCGACCTCATCAGCGAGGTTGTTCACAATTTCTTTTCCCTGAAGTTTAACGAGACGCAGAGCTCGGGAAATTGGATAAAAAGCTTTTTTTCCAGCCAAAGGCATTGAACGAAGGGGTTGGCCTCGCCTTCATTCGCGTTCGATGGTTAAAGGGCGAAGGAAAGCGAAAAGAGCAGATACCGCTATTATATAATAACTGCGCCGCGTATAGGTCTGCGAGGAATGCCCGAGCGCGACACCGCCTAACCGTATCCTTTTTAATTAACGAGCACGCGGCCATTACAAATGAACTGCGCGCCTTCTTATATTGACGGTTTAATTCGTTTCCGTGTCCGTGCTTCGTTCCGTTCTTTAGTTATACTATACAGTATAGACATTCTCTTTCTTCGTCCCTTCCTCCTTCTTTTCTTTCTGAAATTTATCCCCTCGCTGCCTTCACTCGCTTGCTCGTTCGTCCGTATGTACGTACGTTCGTTGATTCGCCCGTTCGTTTGTTCAATTTCTATCTCCTTCTCTTGAATTGCATACGCGGTATAAATGCACAGAATCGCGGAGAGACGACGGCCGGTGGGACACGGAGTCGTTCTACTTGTTCTCTTGTACACCCGCGCGCGCGCGCGTTCCAGGCGTCTTAACGTTACCTCGTGTAGGCTTTAGTTTCGCGGTGGGTACGTACGAAGAAAAAACGGCCATTGAAAGTTCTTACTTCGTTCCCCTTTCCGAAAGGCGACCAGGCATTTTGAAATGTCGTCGGAAGAGTTTCCACAGTCCCCTTTTTCTCTTCTTTTTTTTATTTGCCCCGGAACGGTCTCGAGTACGCTGCCATATCGAATGTGCTCCGACGTCGCAACGGTTCGCTTCTCTTATTTTCTCCGTCGTCTTATATTCGGTTTTGTTTTCTCTTCGAGTCTTAGCCCCCGTTCAATCCCGCGACGTTTAAAAGGAAAGGCACCGGTAGGGAAGGGCGGTCATCGAGTCGTGGCTAAAGCAAGAGTCGCGAGATGCGCGTAAGAACGGTTTCATTCGCGATCACGATATCGATGCAGTTGTTGAACGGTTCCGTGCGTGAGAAAGCGTGTTTCAAAGGGGAAAGACTGGATACTGTCTCGACCGCGCGAGGCAGTCGGTACGGCTTCGCGAATATGCAATTCGAAAGGACGCGACAATGACCGGTCGCGTGGAAGGGAGACGAGGCCACCTGAAAAGAGGTCGGAGGAAGGATCCCAAGAATGTTCTTCCGGGATTGATCGCAATTTCAATGCGGAGTGATCGAGTTCGCTCTTCACGTACCCCTATCGTTAGGAAAAAAGCGAACCCAACGCATCGACACTAGCCCTTTTCCTTAGAACCAACGTTCCTACCCTCACTCATCCGTTACCGAACATTTATTCTATTGCATCGCTTAGGAGAGTACGAGCACGAGCAAAGAAACCGCGAGTAATAATGTACAGAAGATGATCGAGTTAAAAAGGAGAAATGAATATTATGGAGCATGGGAAGCGAAAAGAGAATTTTGATTAGCAGAGAGAAAGATAGTTTTATCGGTTGCGACATCATCCTTTGATTTGGCATAGGGTTTTAAGTGTGGGGGTTGCAGCTGCATGAGGTGCATTGTTGTGTTTCAGTGCTCACCTCTATGACGGGGCTGACCTTGAACTCTTTGAACACCCAGTCAGCGAAGAAGCTGTTCACCTGCCAGCTGTGCGGCAAGGTGCTATGCAGCAAAGCATCCCTGAAACGCCACGTTGCCGACAAGCACGCCGAGCGACAGGAGGAGTACAGATGCGTCATCTGCGAGCGGGTATACTGCTCGCGTAACTCCTTGATGACCCACATATATACCTATCATAAGAGCAGGCCCGGCGACATTGACATTAAGTTCTTTTGAAGGTTTAGATAAGGTAGGGACACGCACGCCTCTCATACTTCTTCCGAAAAATATTCTAATATCCGAACCGATGCAAACCGATATCTCCACCCCTTGATACTCCATCATTTTTTACTACTACGACCCAGCCTCCGATTCGATTACGGTTTAACCTACTCGCCGCGTAGGTCGCAGTCGCATAATCGTCGTCCCGTCACACGACCTCGGCTCCGTGTTACAGTACGTTCCCTCTTCCTCTTTCCGGTACCGATGCGTCCCTTCCACCATCAGCGGCACCTCTCTCTTTCTTCACCTCGCGCAGAAAATGCATGCCAGAGAAACCGGTCTTAACTCCCACATGGTTCGACCCTTATTCTCGTTCTTCTTCTTCTTCTGCTTCTTCGTCTTACGGTGCGAAGCTTTAGTCCCAGCGGCATCGTTTCTCGTTCCTGCTCCTCCCCTTCCAGCATTGTTTTTCTTTTCACTCCTCTCTTCTCTTCTCTGGTTGTCCTTTGCTCTCTTCGGTACCGTACAGTGGCCGATCGAATTCTTCCGGTATTCGCAGCTCCGTTATACCCCCTGCGTCGGTGACTCTCGGGATCGATGGGGTCGAGTGTTGCACTCTCGTCCTTCACCGACGCTGGAGACACACAACAACCGTGTACGATTGTCGATCGAACAATCAGAAAGGAGATGGTTGAATTGACTGATCCGTTCAATTGGGTTCTTACACCTAATCTACTCTAAGCAGGTTCTCTGCTTTTTTGGTTCCGTCGGCCAAACGAGCAGAATGTAATTACGCTTCAGGTTCTTTCCTACTAATACTCACCACATATTTCCTTCAATTTCCCTTATTCTTTTTTTTAACATGATTTGTCACCCTGTTTATGTGATTGTTTTCGCTTGCCTCTAAACCTTCTCCTATTTTTTTTTTTGTTCTCTTCTTTTGTTTTTAATATTCCTTTTATGTAAAATTTATTTCTGCCGTAGCTTCTCTATGTTTGATATTGTATATGCATGCTGATATGTACCATTGTTTAACGCTCGTTTTGCAGCTTCGGTAGTCGTCTTAATAGAATACAAGCTTCGAGAGCGATGACATAATAATTATATATAGCAATACTGTTTTCCTTCTTTCTTTTCTTGCGAGTAGTTAATTAAGAAATTCGCGAAGTTTTTACTGATTAGTTGGCATCGATGCATGACAATAGTATACAGCACACGAACATCATTTGTTTCACCTGTTTTTCTTTCTCTAACAAACTAAACTTCATTCAACTAATCTGTAACGAATTTTTTTTTCACCGACTAACAGTGCATGAACCTTTCTTCATTAGAGAAAAAGTGTATAGGTGTTCACCGCTGGAAATGATTCGTGGCTTGTTTACCGCGTATTTTAATTCTCAGTCAGCACTATTTCCAAGGCATCAATTAACATTTCTCTTTTCTTCGTGAAATAACGAATGGGATCCGGAATTAAAATCTAACAGACTTCGGAAATGGAACGCGTCTGGCATGGTGGTTTTGGCCCTCTTCGTTTCAACTCACTCGACCACTCGCAACTCGGTCAATTAACGATATATATGCACATATTCTAATCGCATGGATCGTTTCAATCCGACGTATACATACTCCGATATATCGATCGACAAAGCACACCAAACTACTTAAGAAAGGGGCAAGAGGAGAGAGAGAGAGAGAGATTTAACCTGAGTTAGTCCTTAATTGATCCCGAGACAGGTGCCAGGTTGAATGAATGAAAACTGAGCCGAGGTCGTTTTCAAGATGGGACGAGAAACCTTGATCGAGAATTACATCGAACGTTCGAGGTTCCACTTAATTATTAATGCACTATAACCGATAAACTAAAGTTGAAACTATCCTAATTCTATACGCATTCCTCTCCTTGCGCGGAACCTCCCTTTATTCGGTTTCACCCTCGGACGTTCAAGGAAGATTTTCGTCCAAATTAATTTGTATCACGTAACGTTACGCGAGAACAGATTCGTAATTAGACTGCAGATTTTTATGCAAAACGAAACATTTGCAACGTTAAGGTAGAAATTGAAATTTATATAAATAAAATTGTCTTTAAAAATAATATGATTTCACTTTTGTATAATTTTTTTATATGTTCTACAGATATAGTTTTTCTATGAATGTATAAAATCCGGTTTAATGATCATTTAATAACTGATCAACTTGCAGTAAATAATCATAAAAGAATCTAAGAAATTAGTAGAAAATTGATTGTACCAGTTTCCGAGTACTTCTGAGAATTGATACTGTAAGACACGAGATTCTGTTCTCACGTGGCGACGACTAAAATATAATTATTGAACGATAACATTTGTGACAATAGGCGGACGCTTTTCAGGTACGGGCAACGGGATGCATCCAGCACCGTCGACGCCTCCCTCTGCCATGTACCAGATGCCACCGCCGACTGCGGGCGGTATAAACGAGCCTCAGGAATGCCCCTACTGCCGTCGCAACTTTTCGTGCTACTACTCCCTGAAGCGCCATTTCCAGGACAAGCACGAGCAATCGGACACCCTCTACGTCTGCGAGTTCTGCAATCGCAGGTATCGCACCAAGAACTCGCTCACGACGCACAAGAGCCTCCAGCATCGTGGATCCAGCGGCATGCTGAAGAGGCTGCTGAAGACCACGGCGATCAAGAACGTCCTAGGTAGCATGCAGCAGGCTCAGATGCAGCAGCAGCCGCAATGAAAATGTCGGAACCGTCTTACAGTCACCCCGTCCCGGACTCTTACTACCGTTCTCATTCTGATCCTCATCGTCTCTGTCCTCTTCTCTGTCCGGTTCTTTGTCGTCTTTCGCCGATCTCATCGTCGACGATATGACGCTGCTTGACGATCAGCCACCGTCGTCAAAGGAACGCTACCGCGCGACCCATCCGAATTCGTCAAGACATGAACTCGTTAGAAGAGTAGAAACGTTTCAATCGTGGACGAGCAAACAGCGAACACAACCAGCGTGGCTCTATGTACGTTCTTCAATCGTGGAACTCCGCAGCCGTCGTTTTGTGGTTCTCCTCGAGTCAAGACTGCGATTAATCCAAAGAAGAAAGAAGAGAATCAACTGAGAGACGTGATATTGAGAAAAATATAGTCGCTGGTCGTTTAAGGTTTGTCATTACGCGCGAATTTGAGAATACATTCCACTTTGCGTTCGGTCAACCAACCCCGCTGCTGGAGGTGGGACTTTAGCGATATCTCGAATACGACTACTGCTTTAAGAACGATGGGACTTACGACGACTACGAACACGAACGACGCTTACCGCAGACCAGAATCATTGCAGTGGGTAAAAAAACAGGTTTCGAACGCGTTGCAAGTAGTATAAACTAAGACTTAGACGTCACTGAAACGCAAAGTGGTAATCGTTACACTCGTTGCTCGAATCTCGTACAGTCCCGCGGTTTATGTCAATTGTCAAGCATAATCTTGCTGGCGGTCATCGTGCTAAAAATTCGAGATCTCTGCGATCGTTTTGAGATTTCTAAAGATGGGTTGTGAGCAGCGATTTTGAATCGTACGATGGGCAATCGCAAAATCGACGAGGAAGGTGATCAGGGATTGAATATCACAGAGATGGGAATGATCGAAGCCTGGTGTTGTACATACATGTTATGCGTATATGTGTATGCTTGAAGAGAGAATGCGTGAATTGGATCTCGCGTGGCTCTGTATACGCGCACACACACACGAACAAAGACTCGTGATCAGTGTAAGTATTCGGAATGTCTAGGAACCGCGGATCTTAGGCCTAAATGAAATTTAATTACAAAATACGTGCTCAAACTTTGGAGAACGTGGAGAGGAATTGCAAAGATCGATCGGATTCTGATCGGTGAAGATGGGAAGTGAGAGGAAGGGATGGTTGAAGAATGAAAGAAATATATCGAATTAACGTACTGCCGCGTAGAGCAGGATAAATGGCAAAGGATAGATGAAGGGTACAGACGCTGAGAAGGATGTTGAGCAGGGAGAAAGGGATGATAAGAGGCGTTTAGAAAAGTGCAAGCGTACCAGTTAGATATGGGCTCTTAAGCAGAAATCGTGTACAGGTCCGTCGTGCGCGCAAATTACAAACTATATTTTTAACTCTTTAAAAGTAATATTTTGAGCTGTACATATATTATTATATTCATACGATATTGATAACAATGATATTCTCTTGTTCATGTTTTATAAACAAAAAAAACGTGGTAGAACGAATGGAAGATAAATGAAACGGGTGTTATAGTTCGACGTAGATAGAACCACGGCGAGCAGGGCAGTGGAGCTCTCGTATCTTTCTCCAATTTGGTTTTGTTCGCGCGCAAGTGACGTTTCGTATTATGTGCAATATTACGAGTAAGGGGATAAATTAGGGGACGGAATTCGGAGTCTGTCTTGGGGCGACGTGCGACGATTCTCCGAGCGATAACTCCCCTTCAATGCGACCAACGTTTTCTTTCCGTCTCGATCTTCTTCGTTTTCTCGTCGTTTGGTTGGGTCGTTCGAACGAGAATAGAAATGGATGGAAAAAGACAGGGAGGATTCAATTAGGCCAAAGAAAAAAATATATACGGGGTCGGGGTAGGGGGATGAAAAAGCAGCAGCATATGAAAAGTGATTCGTGCGAGAATGTCGAACACACTGCCCTGTTCTTTTAAATCTTCGTTGCACATTCATGCTATAAAAAATAATGAACGTACAAGTAACAAAAAAAATGGAAACTTTAGAACTTTGTGTAAAAAGAATGTAACGATGTTTAATCGCGTAAGGGATTTATAACGGCGAAAAAGAAGTAAAACAAAAGAAATGCCATTATAATTAACGAACAAGTACAAATTATTGAAGGAAAATGAGTAAACAAATTACGTCTACGTCTAATAATTCTTAGGTTCCGTAGTGAGTTTAAAGAACGATGGAGGGGAGTGTTTAACGAGACGCAAGGATAGAGTAAATTACGTGCGTCCTCTCGAGTTTTAGCGACTGTAAAGTAAACAAGAGAGAACGAATATGAAAAAGAGAAACGCGTAAGATGCGAGGACGGGAGAACAAACATATCTTCAATCTAAATAAAGAAAAAGTATACCGTGAACGAGAATACAATTTTAGATTTAGGTGTCTTCCGAAGACGGGAGTTTTTAAGAGTAATTACGTATACAGTCGTAGAAGTTAACAAAAACAAGTCTTCTCTGTGGCCGGTCAAAGCATAATGTGGAGGGTAAGAAAATGAGAAATGGTACGTTCCTTTCTATTCGTACGGGATACGAAAATTTTTTTCGACTCGGGGGAAAAGCTTAATGGTAATACATTAGTGAAAAGTATCCTAGTCATTTTGGAAACTTTTTATAATTCTGTGATATGTCGAACTAGTATCAAGATGTATTATTCGGCGCTTAAAAAATAAAAGGGGAACTCAACAAACTAGACGGCCGTAAAAAAGCAAACGAAGAAACAAAGTAATTATCGCGTTCCACATTATGATTTCCGGCGTATTTGTACGTAAACTGCATACATATTGCATAGCGAAAGGAAACTACATATAATTGGTTAACTGCTAATGGAAAATTCTGTGATGTTCTTCAGTTGGGTATACTAAAACGAAAAAAAGAATATTAGAAGTATATGAAAAAGAAAAAAAAACAAAAGTATACGGAATTAGATCGATGTTCGGTGTTGTGTAAGTTAATATTTGTAAAAAGACGAAGGAGCGAAAGACGAGGGAGGAGACTTTTTATGCCGAGGAAATTAAGGAAAGAGTCAAACGCTGCCCGAGTTCTCACGATTGTCCAGGCGACCGTTGATCCATTCAGGAAAAATCTTATTTCGGGGGAAGAGATGTGAAAAGTAAAAAGATTCACTCGCACGTCGTTAAAAAATTTAATGGGAAAACCGTGTAAGGAAAATGCGGCGAGCTTACGTACATCAGCTCGGAATTGATAATCGGTACGATACCAAAGTGGATTTGACTGTTATTGCGATTATTTTTATTTTGTTTCTTTTTGTTTTTTCGTTTTCTCTTTTTATTAAGCGAGACCAAAGTTGTTTTTTAATTGGGTTTTCCCCACGATGTCCGACGTGTTTCTTGCGATCAGCTGTTGCCGAACGAAAGCGAGAGACGGGGCTCAGTGTTTGGATATATAACATATCTCTTCAGGGTACTCGACCCACTGTACGCTGTCACGGTGTTGAATCGAAAAATCATAAAAAGAGAAAAAGTTAAAAAAAAAAAATCGTACACACAGAATCTATTCCAATGTGCCAACGTCTTCGAATTATATATATAAAAATAAAAAGAAAGATGAAACGAGGAACTTTAGGTCTTTTACTATTTACACAGGGGGGAGATAAAACGGTAGTTAGCGGCGCGTCGTATGTCTTCTTTATCGAGAGAAGAGAATATTATCAACATTATTACTACTACTAATCGTTTTAGAATTTAAAGCGAACATTATACAAAATAATATTATCGATGAACTTCTTTTCGAATTCTAATGCATAGATTTTGTCTCGTATGCTATTAAGAAAAAAAATGAACGCAAAACTCTGAATGGAAAATGAATCGAGAGAGAAAGAGAGAGAGAGAGCGAGAGAATGCGGGAGAAGAAGAGCGTGTGAGAGAGTGAGAAAGTAAAAGAGGTAAGAAAGAAAATATTTTAAATCTATCTATTTTTATTTGCATTCTAATATCACCTGCGTGTAAATAATTGATATCAATAAGCAACGGGTGTACCTCTGATGTAGATTGCAGAGGAAATAACATTGTAAATGGTAACGGCATAGGCATTATATCGTACTGGCAATCGAGTGCTGCGACTGCGTATGAAAGTGATCGTGGAAAAGGTTCTGCGTCTCTGTGTGGACGATATGTGGTTCTCAATATTGTCACGAGAGAAAATGCTGTTTGTATATCACGTAATTTATTTTTATTTTCTTCCTGTCGAACGCAAACGACGACAACGTAGCCGAATTTTCCTCTACGAAATTTTTGTACTGCGTGAACCTTTGCCATCGAATAACCGGATCAATTAATATTACGATGAAAAATTCGTGTAGTATGGACGTGACCAATGAACAATGCAAGTTTATGACATGCTCGACGAATTTTTCGTTTGAATAGAAATCCATACGGTAGATTCTAGCTTCCGTTCGAACGGTAAGAACCAACAATTTTTATGTGCAAACGTTTAATGGAGTGTTTTCTTTTGGTTTTTAAAGCTTAAAGTTAGTTTGTCGCTTCGTTATTATCAACGAACCGTATTTTGCATTTGAGCCGCGCATGGCAGTGCTCGAGCTAATATTTCCTGGCGCTGTGACGAAATACTTTTCTAACGCGAATTTATTTTCAAGAAGGCTGATTTTTATAATTTTTAAACGCGTTTAATTAAAGACTCAAATTTATTTTTATTAGTTTCCAAACTCGTTTGTTTTTTTTTCTTTTTGTAATCCCTACATTTAGGGAGAAAACGACTGATTAGATTGTTCTTCTGTTTCGATTGGTTTAAACTCTTTCTTGATCATGTGATATTGTCTTACCAAAGAGCATCGGGAAATTGTAAAAACTTCTCGGACTTTCAGTTGGTATTCACCTTGGGAAAATTCTTAAAAGTAATGTGATCTTGTTCCAATTTCCTATCTTGTCATTCTCGGGCAAAAATTTCATGCGACGATGAGTTTGCAGAATTTTGTGCAATTTTCTTTTGATTAAAATTTAAGGGGGAAGGCTCCGAAAGTGAGAGACACCACGAAAGTCTGAGAAAGCGTCGCGAATAATTATTCTTGGTACGAAAACACTTTGGTTTTCTTTGAAAAAAGTAACAAAATTTGTTTAAATAATTTTTAAATTTTAATTGTATCAAAAAACAAAAATGAAACTACGAAGGGAAAAGAAACGAAAACTAGAAAGAAACACATCTTCGAATCACAAACAAGAAAAGATAAGATATGCTTAGGGATGTATGAATTATGAAGAATTGATAAAAAAAAGAAATGAACGAAAAAAATAACGTCGAACATAGGAGAAAGACTATTTAGATTTATTTTTATTATGTCTTCAAAAAGACTTTAAATATAATATTTATATTGTGCCATAATTAATATTAACAAAAGAATCTTAAGTATAAATTAATTGTTACGAAAGTTTTTAAATTTATTGGAAGGAGAAAATTGCAAAAACATAAAAAAATGTGAGACACGATAAGAAGAAAATATCTCTACTGTCTATCGATAATTAATTTCTAACGATAGTAATTAAGAGAGAACCGCATCATTTTTAAGTAAAATATTGCATTTACAAGAGAAGCTAGGATTAAAAAAAGAGTAACAATTGATCACCATTCATCATCTAACAAACACACTATCTAATCGATTCGTGTAGCGTGCGTCCTTCTTGTCACTACCATCACCAGAAGTATAAGATGCGAAACAGAAAAGTGCAGAAAGAACAGACATTTGTTCTCTAGCTTGGATAAAAAACATCACTTCGTTCTTGCCAAATCTCTATCGATACATAGCGCCTAATTCTTTAGATGCGATCTAGAATCGTCGACTCGTTGCTTGCCGATATTTTTCTGGTTTTTATTTATTTTCAAATTTCTTTGTCGAGAAAAAAGCGTACAGAAATCAACCGTCCCGAATGGAAAGCAGGACGAAAGACAGAGTCGATGATGTCAGGATCGGCGTTCAGTAAAAATGCGTTATGCAAGATGGAATCGCCGTGGAATTAGAGTGTAATGATTAGAAGAACCGATGTTCTCAACGGTGAAGTCTTTGCAAAGTTCAGAGATTTAGAGAAGGTCGTAGTATAAAACAGAAACTGTTCAGGAGAAAACTCTATCTCTGTTGCCAGTTCGAAGAGTTCACCGTTGAATCCATTCTCCGATCAGTTTAGTGACAGTGTGTATATATGTATACGCGTGCAGCATCGATCGGCACCACGCAACACGGAAACCGCATCGAAATGTCATCGTTTTCCATTTGATTCTACATATCGTCTGTGAGTGTATATCCCCATGCCAGGATGCAGATCCACATGTCACCTCCATATCACCGGAACCATATTCTCGTTTTCTTTTATTTTGCGTTCTACTCTGTGTACAGTTCACAAGATTTCTGTCTGTTCAGCATTATCGAGAAATGTTTAATATGAATACCGATACCGATTAATTCATTGATTAACAGGGACAGATGATTTGTTAAGTTAGCACGCGAAGAGAG